AGCTGAAATTGCAGAGAACATATGGCGGGAAAGAGAAAATAGACCCAATTTTGGGACCAAATGTAGGGCCAGTAGGAACTCTTTAGAAATATTTTCTGAGTTACGCCTATGCACGCTCATGATGGTAGATACACACATGCAAATGCAGGCTCACGTGTGTACGCACACACATGCTTCCACACGGTTACACACATACACATTAAATGCACACATAATCTGTCACACATACGCTCTCTGGCCTGCACTGAGTCCTGAACCAGCCACTTTGCCTCCCATCTCTAGAGCTGCTGCATTTCACACATGCTCTGGGTGAGCTACTTTGAGGAAGAAGGAAAATCATTTGTTAAAAAAATGAAGTCAGAGTGAAAGCCAGCCTGCTCTTTCCAATGTCCCTTTTTAAGGCCCAGGGAATTATAAGATGTGGCCACTGTGACTCTTCCCCAAGATTTACAGAAAGAAGGAAGGTTTGGTTCCTGTCTGGAGCCCGACAGGAGCAGGGTACTGCTCAGCTGGGCTTCCCTCCCCGTCCTTACCTCTCCCTGGTGTGATTTTCTGAACATATGGCCTTCACCACAGGACACGACCCACTCTGGGCCAACTTATAGCCAGACAGCCCAAGGCTGACCTGCATGTCATTGAACTTGGTCACTACAGTCAGGCAGGATTTTTTAAGGACAGAAACCTGAGTAAAACCCAGTTTTCTTCATGGCATTTTTTAAAACTTGGAGTAGAATATACATAACATAAAATGTACCATTTTAACGATTTCTAAACTTGTATTTTGGTGGCATTAGGTACCTTCCCCTTGTGTTCTTTGGCCTTGATTTTAAGCTTTGCTGTAATCCCAATTTTGTCTCAGAGATGACGGTTCCTTCCTTTCCAGTGAAATGCTCCTAACATTTTTGTTTCAGCCAGTTAGAACCCACCCCTGGCTGCTGGGTACCAGGTCTCACTTCTTCCTGCCGTGGTTCAGTCTTGGTTTCAAAGGTTCAGATCACCAGAGGTCACCTGGAGAGTGCCACCCATGGCTGGGGAGGATGTCTCGGAGCGCCTCGCCCAGTCGGGGCCTTCCCAGAACTCACAGAGCCGCGCTATTGGCTTTAGGGTGCTGACACCGGCAACTACTGGCTTCATCCGTTGGGTCAGAAACCTGCTTGTTTCACCAGCTGGTTTGGCTCCGATCCCCGAACCACATAGCCTTCCCTCCTCAGAGTCTCCCGGGGATGCAGGGTTTGCATCTTAACTGCTGGTTTGCATCGAAAACTGACTGGCAATTTTGTTCCTCTGGACCCTGAGGTTTCTCACCAAGACCAGATGTTGCTGATGACCCCACTCTCTCCATTCCAGCAGGACCGAACCTTTGCTGTCTTTACCCCGATTGAGTCCCGGTGCCACCTCTTCCTGGAGGGACAGAGTGAGGGGTGTCTTACCTGCATGGGGGGCTGCGCCCCACACCCCAGCTGGGCACTGCCCTGCCCCCCTTGCGTTCTCATCGATGCTTAGCGTTCGTCTCTGCTCTGTGTCCTCTCCATGTCACCTTTCTGTCCTGTTGTTAAAGGCTTTCTATGATCTGTTGCTGTGTTTCCCTCTAGTCAGGAGTGGCAGGAAAGGACGCCGGCGAGTGTTCAGCCTGTCGGAGGCCGACAGTCATGGCGGCCACTGGGTTTAGTGCTTCGAACGGCAGCTGTCACGGCAACTCTGGCAAAGTCAATTCAGGCAGGTCTCCTCCGTTAGCCTCCACGGGCCCATGATGCCCCCTCGCCACGCTGCATTTCTAGTCAGCAGGCTCTGCACGGCAGGCGGGGCAGGCTGGGGCCCCCAGGACACCAGGTCGTGACCTGAGAGCTGTCCTCAAGTGGCCATTTCCTCAGCTTCCCTCCAAAACTGGATCCCCCTCCCTTGGTGGCCTCATTTCATCTGAGGATCAAATCCCCTGGTTCTTTTCCCTTCCAAGCCAAACCCAGCCGCCTGGAAACACTGTCATTCTCTGAAATACCGAGCAGGCCAGCATCAGGCTCGGTACAGACCCTGAGCTAGAGGCAGGTATTCTATCTGAGCCTCACAGGGCACCCGCAGCTTAGGCTACAGGGTTGGGTGGTAGAATTTGCAAAAAGCAACCAAGAAGTCAGCTTTTTTTTTTTTCTTTTTCTTTTATCCTGGTCTTGCTCAAAGCTAAGCGATAGATTCAGTCACATTTCAGCCAAAGGCCAAAAGTTACACACACACACCGATGGCTATAACTCAATCATCCCCTTCTTACATTTAGTGCTCCAAGTAGTGGGGGGATTTGTTTGGGGGCCACAGCGCACCTTGGACCCCTCATGCTGCTTTCTCCCTCGGTGCTTCCCTCCAGGTTTCCCACATGTGCCCGCCCATTTGGCAGTCAGGAGCCTCCTGCCTCCTTTTGTGTTTAAAAGCTGTTTCCTCTAAGCTTTGCTCTCTGGCTTGCTGTGCTGTTCTGTTCTTCCCCACATCAGTCAGGCCCACCTATTCCAGACCGAACACATCAAGCCCAAATTTTTACTGGAAACTGTAACTCACTTAGCAAAGGTCAGCCGAGCCCCTGCCCCAAAGCCAAAGACCAGCTTCTAAGGCCAGCCAGGGATGTGATGGTCAGCTTGGGGCAGAGCCATGCAGAGGCTGAGCATCACTCATGGAAGCCTGGATATCTGGGATTTCCCACTCCGGCCTCCAGTTATCTCCCTGCCCCTGGCCAGGAAGCCAGAATGTCCTCCAAATTCCTCATTTCCTGGGCCAGGCCCCAACTTGTGGCCTTAGACCTCAAAAACACCAGCTGCAGTAACCTTCACAGCTCGGCACTTGACCAGAAAAATGTGTCCTCACTGGGTTATTTTTCCTTGGTAAAACCTGGCAAAGTCCCCCTCCCGCAGTGGATAAATGTGAAGATCACATTCAGGAAGCAGTTCTTAGTTTAAAAAATAATAAAGTAAAAATTAATTAATTAAATAAGACAGTGTTGTGGGTGATGCGTAAGAGGAGGTTATTTTTCTTATTAAAAAAATAGAGGCTGTTTTTTATAGGGAAAAAGTGATCCCTTTTAATAAAATTGGTTCTTAAAGAAGAAACCAGTTGTGTGGATATGGCAGTAGTTGTTGGTTGGTTTGTTTTTAATCTGATGGCAACTGTCCCACGTCCCTGATTCTCATCACCAAAACTCCACTGGGGCCCAGGAGAGAGGGTTGTGCCTTTCTGAATATCTGCTTGCAAACTCAGCCAGCAGGGAGGGAACTCTTACATAGAGTTTTGAGAAAAAACGTGAAGGAAGTGCTTTGCTGCTCAGTCTCCAGATGGCACAAAAGTGCCACTTGGAGAATTAGTCATTTCTCAACTGCCCTGTCAGCAGCTCAGCTTGCGTGTGTACCCACACGCACGAAGCTCACAGACGCATCCACACTCTGGGGGGGAGGGGGGGGGCGCGGAACAGCCGAGCCCCTCTCAGAGAGCAGCCGCAGGTCATGCTGGGTCAGAGCCAGAGCCTGAGCCTGGGCACAGACCAGCCCCTCACCTCAGGCGCTCTTCCCGAATGGAGCAAAGGCACAGAAATGGAGAGAAAGCAGAATGCGTGCGGAGCATTCACCGTGCTGGGCTCAGATCACCCCCTACTCGAATCACTTTTTCCACCAGGGCCCATGTGTCCTGCTGCCACCCTCCGGGAGTGCGGACTGGCCCAAAGTCCCACACAGTGGTTTTTTCTGACCTTATTTCACTTTTTTAAAAAAAGGTGCCTTATAAAGACATTAACTAGGACCATGTCGTGCTCATGTAGCCTGAGTCTTGTGGGAAGAAACCCTGGCGTGGATTTGGGAGGCTCAATCTGTTGCTTGCACTTTCTCTCCACAGTGGGAATCCTCATTCCCTCTCTCCTTTATCCCATTCTGTGTGCCCTTTGGTTTTATTTTGCTCTTGGTTTTTCCATTCTTTGCTCTGTGTTCAGTTGGCAATTTTATTTTGTTTTGGCTTAACTGTAAGAAAAAAAAAACAACTAACTGGAATCACATTGGACTAAAGAATGTCTACCACCGTTCCTGGGACCCAGAGTGCTTTCAGACTCAGAGCCCACACTGTGGTCGGCACCTCCCGACGTCCGTACAAATAAGAACTTGCTCCAGGCGAGATGCCCACAGCCTTATCAATGTTTTCAAATTACGGGCATGTGGCATCCTAGAAGATGTTTTCCACAATGCGCTCCAGTCACAACTGGCATTTCTGTCCGGGCAGATTCATCATTGGAAAGCAAATTAGGCCATTTGTCTGTAATATAAGCAAGAATTTTGAAAAGCACCCAAAAAAGAAATTGCCACTTTGAGAATAAGTGTATCAGGCGGAGGCTCCCCTGCCTTTCTCCTGACTTGGTTTCTCCCTGTGGGAACAGGAATGGCCCCGGGGGTTATGGTCCCTTTTTGAGTGCTAACTCAGCACTTCAAGAAGGAACAGGAGACCAACCAGTCTGAACTTTGGGTTTGGTTATGCAAGTTAAAAAGTTCTATAGGATTCCCTTTTTTTTTCTTTTTAAATATTGCAGTGAGTTCCCTCTTGGGTAAATGTCACCAAATTAGACTCTGGAAATGGCGGGGAAGTGATAAGCACCCCCAAGCCCATTTCCTCTCTGAACGTGTGTTTTTCCTCAGGCAGGTGGCTCAGGACTGGTGCATACATACAGCCCACCGGGGCCATTTCCTGGCACCCAGGAACTGGGCTTCCAGAGTCCACTCCTTGATTTTTGCACAAGCCCCTCATCTTTCCCTTGCATCACAAGTGAGGGTATCCGTGGGCCCTGACCCATTTCCCCCAGTCCTAGGTCAGGCTGGATTTACCAGTTTCTATGTCCCCAAAAGGAGGAAGTGGAGCAAGCTATTCCCTCAACACTGCCACCTCCCACCCAGATTTCCCGGGGCCTTGGTTCAGGACAGGAGCTGAGGGTGCCAATGGGAGCAGAATGTCTCAGAGCTAAGTGTCCCTTTGTTTTTCCCCCCACCAAGATGACCCCGCGACTATAGAACAGCCTCAGCCTAACCTTCCCGGCCAGTTGGTGATCGTCAGTGAAATGGAAGCAGACGCCAGGTCCTGCAAGAGCCTGGCAAAGAGCGTGGACACGGAGACAGTCAGCCTGCCCCCCAGCCTCACCCCAACCCAGCAGCCCACCATCTCCCTGCTCTGTGAGGATACTGCTGACACGCTGAGCGTGGAGTCGCTGACCCTCATCCCACCTGTGGACCCCCACAGCCTCCGTACCCTCACAGGTATCCCCCCGCCACCCACATTAGCCACAGAGAGTGCAGTGACCCCAGGTGAGGAGGTTGCGCATCCAGAGGCAGCGGACCCCACCAAGCACTAAGTCCCCACTAAGCAGCCTCCCTCTGTTCGTGTGGCCCCGCTGGTAGAGACCCAGTGCCACTGACTCCAAGGACACATTGGGAGCATCGCAATGACCATCTTCACTACCGACCTTGTGCTCCTTGACTCCGTTTGAATTCCTTTCACTTCACACTTCTTTGAGAGCAGCTGGGATTGGTGGAGACACCCCAGCAAACCCAGAGGGCTGAAGCCACACCTCGAGGAGGTAGGGTTCCTGGTCTGCAAGCCCCGCAGCCCGGGTGGCAGGACCCACCAGCACCACCCCCTTCATCAGCCAGCCCTCCCAGGCTCACAGCTCCTCCGTACCATCCCCAGCGTGCATGGAAGAAGCACACAAGGTCACTGTAGGTAGAAATTTGTAGAAAAGTGAACTTCGATAAACATCTCCTTTGGGTATTTATTTCCGCTTTGGCAGCAGGCGAAAAGCATTTATTTTAAAAGCACCTATTTTATTGAAAAGTCCAAAAAAATCCTCAATGCTAAGGTTTGATGTCATGTAAAAAGTGTAAGATGACTGTTAAGATTTCATTTTCATTTTCCCCCAAACTTCCCAGTGTTTTGGTTTAGAGTTCTCCATTTTCTTAAGTGATTCTTATTTCTTTATTACTAACTCTGCAAGCCTGTGGGGTGATAAGTACCTTCCTGGAAAGCTTAGAGTATTTTTTAAACAAAATAAAGGAGATACATGTATTCTCAGGTACACACAGAGCAGAAGGGCGGGAGGTTTCTCTGCCCTGGCAGCCAAGGGGCCTCTCGCTACCTGAAAGCTTTTTTCAATGAAAGGCCCAGTGCAGTCAGCTCCCGCTCAGGGCCCATTCCTCGACTCTGGACTGAAAGCAAACAGGACAGTTTCCCAGCATCCCCTTCAGTTGTTGCCATCTCCATTTGTCTAAGAAGGAATCACCT